GGTGCCTGAGCCTCCTCCACAGGGCCGACCGGGGATCTTCCTTCCCTCCTGGCCGACAGGGCCGGCGGCCTCCGCAGGCCGGGCTGCCCGAGAGCCGCTCAGCGCTGGGCTGAGCCCGGGGCAGGCCGGGCGCCGTGCTGGGGACGGGGGACGCCTGGTAGGTGGGCGGGTGTTTCCTTCCAGGGTTTAGAACAACAGGCGGAAAGCGGGCGCCGCCCTGTGAGTGGCCAAGGAGAGGGGCGTGTCTGCCTCATTCTCTGGGGACCCCGGTGTCGAGACCTGGCACCTAAGGTCCTTAATACACGTTTGCTGAACGAGTGGGTGAGACCTTCGAGGTGACTGAAACGAGGGGTTATAAACTCGGCGCCTGTGGGGCCAGGTGGGTGTTCCCCGTGTGGGGGGCTGGGCACCGGGCAGGAGGAAGGGGGGCCGTGGGGACCGGGTCAGCTGCCGGCCCGTCACTGTCGCCTCAACAGGCACCTGCTGGAGACTCAGATGGGCCAGGTGCTGTTCTAAGAGCTTCACCCGTATTGTTTCGTTAAAGCTTAATAATTATTTAAAAGTTAGTCGCGGAACGTGAAACAGTGGAGCCGCGACGTGACTTGAACGCTGGGCGTCCTTTGCTCGCCCCTTTGTGCCCACACTCTGCGGCTTGCCCTCCCGCCCCCTTGTCTTCTCCCGGGCGTTCAGGGTCCCCTGTCCCAAAGGAGCCCCTGCGTCCTGCCCGCTTCCCTTGGCTCCTTTACCGTCCTCCGCCCGTCTCCTTGCTCTGCCCTCCCGGGCGGCGCCCTCCCCTGCCCCGGGGCGGCCTCTCTGGGCGGGAGCCCCTCTGCCCCCCAGCTCCGGGGAGACAGGCCGGCGTGGACGTTGTCTTCCCGGGGAGAACGGAAATTTCGGATTTCCAATGTTACAGCCATCGGTCTTCTTTCGTTTGTTCAAGTACTTCAGGGACTTTTTGGCAAAGAGAACGCGGCGTGTTGTGACAACTGGGGACCGTTTCCCTGCGTGTCAGGCATTTATTAAGTCCTGCAAAACCTGGAAGGGTTATTTTCACATGTTACTCCACATTCCCAAAGCAATGCTTTGATAGCTTGAAAATGCCCCAGGTCCTTAGACAATCTGCGTGTTCTCTCAGTGTGTGGGAGCCGGGTCCTGTTCGGTGAAGAAGACGGTGGCTGGGAAGCGCAAGGTGCGCTTGCTGGGGGAGCAGGGCCTCCCTGGGGACACGAGCTGCCCCTCGGCCGAGGAGGGGAGGGGACGAGGCCTCCTTCGTGTGGGGTGACTGCTCTGCGCCCTTCCTCCAGGGGAGCCCATAAGCTGCGAGCACCTTCACCGAGCCGTCAACGTGAACGACGAAGACCTGCTGGTCGGGATACTCCAAGGAGGGTGAGAGAACTCCGCCATTTAGAAATAATTATTTTTTAAACCGTAGCACCCAGCACGCGCAGAGAAAAGCACGGTGCAGCTTATTTTATTTTCTGGAAGCTTCGCATGCCCGAGCCGGGCTCCAGCGCCGATCTCGGGGCGACGTGAGCTCAGCCCTGCGAGTAGGGAAGACGGGCCCGTGGAGGTCTCGTAGTGACCGAACGGGGCCTGGAAGAGGCAGGTCCGGCCTGAGCACCGCGCTTTCCTCCCAGTAGTGATCCCTGAGTCTTGCTTACAGGCCGTAGCCTTTAGGCAAGTTTCACCCCCAAAGCCCCATTTCTGGTTCCTGATGAAACAGAGGAACCGATAAGTCAGCTGTTTCTAATTCAAAAGGCGCTAAAACGCTGGAGGGAGAAGGCGATGCGGGTGCTGCAGGTGGGCATGTGAGGCTGCCTCCTAAATGGCAAACGGACAGTGTTATCCGGGTTCTGTGTGTGTGCGCATGTGCATGTGTGTGCGTGTGTGCGTGTGCGTGTGTGTGCACACACACGACTGTAAAAGTGATTGCGTTCCCGGTTTCCTTTTTAAGAAAATTTTATTGAGTTTATTAGGGTGATATTAATAAAATTATGTAGGTTTCAAGTATAAAATTCTATAATACCTCATCTGTGTATCTATATGTTTTATATGTTTTTATTGATTTATTTTAGAGAAAGAGGAAGGGAGAGGGAGAGACAAACATTGACCGGCCGCCTCCTCACGCCCCCTACTGGGGATCGAGCCCACAACCCGGGCGTGTGCCCCGACCGGAATCGAATGGGGGACCTTTTGGCGCAGTGGTCGGTGCTCAGCCCACTGGGCCACACGGGCCGGGCCCGTCATCTGTGTATTGTGTGCTCACCACCCACAGTCAAGTCTCCTTCCGTCACCACTCACCCCCTTTACTCCCCCCGCTCCCCTTGCCCTCCGGTGAGCACTGCACCGTGGTCTGTGCCCGGAGGCTGTTTTTTCTCTGCTTAGTCCGGTCGCCTCTTCACCCGGCCCCCCGGCCCCCCGACAGCTGTCAGCCTCTTCTCTGTATCTAAGAGTCTGCTTCCATTTGGTTTGTTTATTTGTTCCTTAGACCTGCTCGTAAGTGAGATCGTGTGGTTTCTGTCTCTCTGCCCGACTCACTCACTTAGCGCAGTGCCCCCGGTCCGCCCACGCTGCTGGCGGTAAGGGCCCTTCTTCCAGCACTAGCGGCTTGAGCACCCCAGAAGGCCAGGCGCCTGTGAACCGGGCTCTGTACTGTGGGGAGGAGGAGTCCCCCCGGAGGCCGAAATGCTGAGCTGGTGCGTAGGGGCCCTGCGCTCGTCTCCGTGGCAGCCCTTCGTGCCAGCGGGCGAGGGGAGCCGAGGGGACAGCGTGGTGTCCCCAGTGGGGGCTGCTGTCCCCTGGGGCTGGGGGTCTGCACAGATCCTCGGGCTCACGTAAGGACCCGTGTTCCTCACCGAGTGTCCTGTCAGCTCCCGTGATGGTCCGAGTTGAAGAATGTGCCTGTTCGAAATGAAATTACAGCAATTTTCTCTCCTTTTCTTGTGAATCTGTCTCTTTTAAAAATATTCGGCAGGGCAGTCTGAGACAACAGAAATTTAATGGCCCGGAAGAAACTGGGATTCTCGGTAAAATGAGCCATTTTAGCCACCTGTGCCCGCAGAAGGCCGCTGCGGATCTGCGGGAGCCGCTCGGGCTGCTCACCCGCCCCTGTTTCCCCAGCAGCGTGAAGGTGGATGTCCCCAATAAGCTCGGCCTCACCGCCCTGATGGTGGCGGCGCAGAAGGGCTACACCAGGTGGGTGCAGCCCCGGGACCTGCGGGGCCTCCTTCGAGGCTGCAG